AGATTTGGGACTGGGACGGAAGGCTTGCCAGCTTCATAGCTGCTTAGGTGAGAACAAACTCTTTCTAGCCATTTCCTCAACTTCCACCTCTAATTGGAAAATGGGTCTCCTCAACTCTGGAGCGTCTTCACGGAAGGCTCTCTCTTTTTTTTAAGGACATAGTTCAGTGTAAAAGTTTTGCAAGCTGTTTCCACGGAGGCACTCACAGATCCCTTTACAGAGTGAAACCAGGTGATTCTTCACGGTTAACATCCTCCATACTAGTATTTTAATACCAGCTCTTTGGGTCTTCCCCTCTCTAACTTTAAACAATCTTGGTTCAGAAAGCAATAAGAAGCATGTTTAATCAGGTTTTAATCAGGTCACGTTTGACCATTTTCCTGCCGCCAGAGGGCAGCTGCTCCCAAAAAATGAAACATAGCCACTCCAGTGTGCCCTTTCCAGGCCTGTGACAACATTTAAAACAATGGCTTAAAATCCATACCAGTACAATTAGATTTTGCAAGAACACCTTCTGGTACATGCATTTTGTCTTCATAAAAAGGTACCCAGGGTAGACAATGGCCTGGTGATCTCCCAATACTATTTATTCTAAAGTTATAATGACATGTAAGACTAACCAAGTAATAAATCAGTTTTCAGAGACACAATCATGCTAAATCTCTTTCAATGAAAACAAAAACAAATTGATTTCACTGTTCGCTTTTTGGGTTTATCATCCCCATTTTCAGACAAAAGTTGGGACAACATAAAACTGAGTATGGAAAGGAGTCACACATGAGGGAGATCAAATCCATTTCCTTCCAGGCTACATGATGATGTGTTTTGTTTTGTTTTTTTCTTGCAAACTTCCTCTCTCATGGTTTCCCCTCAAAAAAAAAAAAATGAAAAAAGTGATAACAACCCTTCAAGGATAAAGAATATAACAACTAATAGATTTATTTCAATTAAAGAGTTCATGGATCAAAACCCACTTCTTCAGACGTAAGGAGCGCCAAAGAATATTTAGTTGTTCAGCTTACAAACCCTTTTAATTATGGCAATGCATTGTACATACACAGTAGGTATCGTCAATACCACCAGCCTTTAACTTTAGGAGGACCGGCTTTTAATTTCCGCCTAGCATACCATCTGTATTCGTACTCTGGGTCTCTCTCATCTTCCCTCTCTCCTTTCCCCCAAGATCACTGTAGCATCACTGGAAGGATCACAGCCCATCAGCTACGGACAAGTGTTTTCAGGACCAGGTCATGTCACTTGCCTTCTTACACACAGATAAAACTCAAGACCACTACCGCCCAGAGACCTTTGGGTAGTGTGGGCGGCATATAAATTAAGTAATTAAGTAAGTAAGTAAGTAAGTAAGTAAGGAAGTAAGTAAGGAAGGAAGGAAGGAAGGAAGGAAGGAAGGAAGGAAGGAAGGAAGGAAGGAAGGAATCCAAGACAACTCAAGTCCAGCCTAGCACGTTCCCAGCTCATACTACCCAAGGTTCCTGATTTGACTTTAATTGGCTCCCCATTCACATGTTCAGCTCTGTTTCTCTGTAACGTCTGAATCAGGAAAGCACATGTGTGTCCTCCACCGGTGCCTAGATGCCACGATCACCGGGACCGAAGGCTAGTCAACTGAAGAGGAAGACTGATAAGACAGAACTCTATGGACAGATGGTTCTCACAACCTGCTGTTAACATACAAAGCTCTGAACTGTTTGGGACCAAGGTATCTGGCAGAACACTTTGTCCACCTTCAGTAATCAGAGACTGTCGTGAATTTCAAGCACCTTGTCAAACTTGTGCCTCCAATAGCTTCATGTTGGGTCAATGGCTCCTTTCTCCTAGTAGTTTCTGTATTAGCACCCTGTTTGCTTGTTTGTTTGTTTTTATCTGAGACAATACAGAAATAGACTAGGGGAAAAGGATGCAGCAGAAACAATATCTGAGGAAATATATTAAAAATCAAGAGAAAGCCAGCTGGGAGAAGGAGACTTCCAATTAAGATAAATTAAATTAAAATACATTTCAGAACAATGATTAGCTTGTCCAGGATTTAAGAAAAATCACAGGTGGTGGCAAAGAACGAAAATAGGTAGCAATATAGTAACGGCTGAGTGGGATTTTCAAAACTGGATTGTTGCATTTAACTGGTTGTTTAGGTGTTTCTTATGATTTTTAGTATGGTATTCATTTGATCTTTTTTAGTACTGTATTTGTATATTCACTGTCGATAGCTTTAAATGCTGTCTTTTAATGATGTCAGCTGCCTTGAGTCCTTTTTAAGGCGAAAGGTGGGATAAAAATATTTTAAATGAATAAATAGGAAATAAAAGCATAGCTTGTTATACTGTATTAAGTTGGCTTTACTCATCAGTGGCCTAATTAATAAATAGGAAATAAAAGCAAAGCTTGTTATACTAAGTTGGCTTTACTCATCAGTGGCCTAATGCTGAAGATTTTGAAGGAAAATATCCAAAATCTTGACAAAAGCTTTAAGCCAGACAAGCCTGAAGAAGGGAAAAAAGAAACAGGGAGAAAAGCAAAGGTAGTTTCTCCACTGAGAAGAATTTTGTTTCTGAGCTGACATAGAGGGATTCTTAAAGACATCCATGGCTGTTACTCTGCAGGCTCCCAACAAACACATAGGTGTGAATCCATTCCCAACTTCTTTTCTGAAACTGAAGACCTTTGCATTTTCTATTGAACAAAAAAGCAAATGGAGCCAACTCTGAGCATCTATGAAAGATAACATTTTTGTTTATCTAGCTATTTAACAAAATCAGCACTTGGAGTCCCCTATGATACCTCTTGAGAGTCCCCTGGACTACAAGGAGAGCAACGCTATCCGTTCTGAAGGAAATCAACCCTGAGTGCTCACTGGAAGGACAGATCCTGAAGCTGAGGCTCCAATACTTTGGCCATGTCGTGAGAAAAGAAGACTCTCTGGAAAAGACCCTGATGTTGGGAAAGTATGGCAAGAGGAGAAGGGGACGACAGAGGACAAGTTGGCTGGACAGTGTCATCAAAGCTAGCAACATGAATTTGTCCAAACTCCGGGAGGCAGTGGAAGACAGGAGGACCTGGTGTGCTCTGGTCCATGGGGTCACAAAGAGTCGGATGTGACTTAATGACTAAACAACAATGATACCTCTTCTTGCCTATGCAAATAATCGGTTTGTCAACCTCAGGGATAATGACATATGAAAAGCTCCACATGGCCACCAAGACCCTAAAAATAAAAGACTGGAGTTTATGGTATCATCACTGCATCCCATACTTTTGCCACGGAACTGTTACTCACAGGCTGTCCTCAGAGACAGTTCAGGCTGAAAGGGTATTACGGGCTCAGTGGGGTTCAGGACTACATGAATCCAGTGCTCCCCAAACCAAGTTTAACATGATGCCCACCACATTGTTTAGGTAATCAGGGTGCATTTCGGCAGAGTAACTCTTAAACCAACGACAGCTGATAAGAGTCATGTTTTGCCCAAAGTAGATGTCATAACATATCTTGGTTAATTCTTTTGGATCATTGCTTATTTTGAGGAATTGTATGTTGATGTACAGGTTTATAACCCACACACGATATTAAGGTTGTAATTAAACATGTTACATATTACCACATTATTGACTTTACTGGAATGCGCTCTGGTGTAGAGTGCAATACAAATAAATATTATTATCTCAGATACTTATTCCCTGAAAAAGCATCAAACACAGTATGTCCTTTGTCTTAGGACCGCTTCCACCTATACCAGGAAGCCTGCTGGTCCTCTTTCGTGAAAGGCCCATTGTTTTGACACCTGTCTCCTGCCGTACACCTACAGGGCAATACAGATGGTGCAGCGACAGCTGCAATCCTGCCCAGATGCTGGTTAAGATGATGAAAAAGGCAACTTCCTGGGAGGAAAGAAAACTGAACAACATCAGGTGTCCTTTAGCACTGCTTTATTAAACTCTCATGAGAGGAAACGAAAGCTGATTCTTCCAGGCGCGGAATGGTAGAGGGAGCTAAATTCCCCTGAAAACGGCAGCTCCCTCCCAGGATTCTCTGGCAGGTAAAGAAATGCCACTACGGTGCATGTTTGCGCCGCCCAATGTGGAAGGCTCAGGTGTGGCTTCTTAATTAGTGGCTGCCTCCCACCAAGAGAAGTCCGTAAATGGAGCAAGAGGGAAACAACCGCAGTCGGAATTTGGCTGAAAGCAATGGGGCATTTGCAGAGTGAAGGGGGCCACTGTCCCTTTTCAGAGGAAGAAGGGGGATCCAGAAGATGCAGAAGTCTCCCGTTGCTAACCAACAGTCTTGTTTTACATTGAAAATATGAGCAAGACACAGACTTCAGAGGTGCAGGCTATGGTCCATATCCCTCGTGCACTTGTTGTTCTAGAAATTAGATAGCTGGACTCTTGAGGATGAGCCAGGCTTGTTCGAAAGATCCTGCCATCCTGGCGGCCAGGCACACACTTTTCCCTAGTGTGCTTTGCCAGAGTTACGTGGCTATCTGGAGACTGCATATAGAGATACAGAGCTTGAACCGGCCAAGATGTCAGACATTCAGGCAACAGCTAGCCGGGGACACAAAAAATGCCTTGATCATTAACACCCATCTGGCCCTGCACTTGATTTCCAACGGGATGCCCTTGGGCCACCCCAAGGAAGGCAGGAAGGGAAAAGCTTGTCCCTCAGCAACTGATGTTCTGTGCATCCGTGCCTGCGTGGGTTTCTGCTTTTCCTCCTTTTGGCTAAAACCTTTCTAATACCTCCAACGATAGACATTCTTTCAACAAACAAATGAAGAGATGCAGTCTGAGTTAATATCTCCGATATCAAAAAAGAGCTCCTTCGTTTGTAGACAGCCTGATGAAACAGGATCAAGAAAACTAACGTGAGGGGGCACGTGACAGTAGCAAGAAGATTAGCATCAAGGGCTTGCTCAGAGGGAAGGCGCTTTGCCGGTTGGGTTCGGAAAGATGTATCACAACAATAACAAGACTCTTGTTGCTAGCCTCTATCAGAAGAGACCCGCCGTTTGTCTGCATTGGGAATTTTCAACTGCAATGTCCCCCAAGAGTCATTGCCTAGACCCCATTGAGCAATGCTGCTGCCAAACACATTAATGTACGTTGGATCGTTACTAGATTTACTCCCTGTAGCAACGCCATCCTATTTTATATTGAACTGAGATAGGCTTCCTCATTGCTCCTGTTCTGCCATTTAAATCCAGAACACTCTTGTGCTCTCAAAGGCTTTCATGGCTGGGATCCAAAGGTTGTTGTAGGTTTTTCGGGCTGCTTGGTCGTGTTCGGGAGGTTTTTCTTTCTAACGTTTCACTGGGCCACAAATGCCGGCCACAGAGACTGGTGAAACACCTCCAGAACAGGGCCAAACAGCCCCCAAAAAACTTACAACCACCACCAGAACATACTGCTTGAATATAAATATATAATATTTTTTCTTTTATAGGGACTGCAGGACACTTTAAAAAGCATTCAGCTTTGGAACCCATTCCAAATGATGGGATCCAACTCTGAACACAGGATAAATTACAATAAAAGGAAACACATGGCTGAGCATACACAGAGTGCATCTCTTGCTAATGAGAACCCATAGGTATTTCTTCAGAGACCAGGGTTTCAAGTTCAGAGGATAAGTCTTCTCTTGTTAGAAGTTAAGCTCCCACTACCAGCAAAATAAGAACATCCTGGGTCCAAACATATTTATTGACTTCGATGCAGGCTCCTTTACTTCTGTGCAGTTTATCCCTAAAAGTATGAGTTAAGATCACTTTCAAAAGCTCTGTCATCTCAACTCGTGATAATTAAAGCAGTCAAAACATGCCCAGAAAGGTGCACTTCTTAAATATGTTGCATACTCCGTATAAAACAAATACCGCTGATGAAACCTATTAATATGAGAACAACAAAGCCACCAATAAGAACCTAAGAAGAGCCCTGCTGGATCAGGCCAAGGGCCTGATCCATCTGGCGTTTGGAGGGACTTTCCTTCTAAGCCTGGAGATTATACGTCCCCATCATGGCTTGTCACCTGCGATGGACTTTTCCTCCAGGAATCTGTCCCATCCCCCTTTGAAAAGCATCTAGGCCAGATGCCATCACCACATCCTGTGGCAATGAGTTCCACAGACGTAACAACACGCTGGGTCAAGACATATTTTCTTTTGTCTGTTCTCACCAATGCAATTCCTATGGTCAGCGGCTACAGAGACATGTTTAGAAAAAGCCCACAAGGGACGCAGCCAAGGCACCCGTATACTTTAAGAAGATGGTTCAGGATAAACAAACATACAAACTCAGAAAGCCTCAAAGCCTCCAGCTGACACCTGGCAGTGAAAGAGGGACAGTTGGCCACAACCACAACTGCCTTTCAACTTTCCGGTTTCTTCAGCATTCCAACACTTCTAGTTAGTTAATTTGACAGAAGACGCCCTCCTTCCTGTGGGGCTCCGCAGGAAGAGGCAACATGGTGCTTTTCAGCTCTCCCCATATCTCTTTCTCTCTCTCTCAGCTATCAACAAGGAGGAGCACTGCCTGGCCAAATCAGCGGCCAGGTCACTTACGGTAATTACAAGCCGCAGATCTTGCTGGGATTCTGGGTCAAGATGTCATTAGGTTACAAGTAAAACATCAGATTAAAGCAAGTCTGCCAAACCAGAAGAGAACTGAAGTTGAAATTTGGGCTTCCTATTTAAGAGACAAAAGCTGCATAATGCCTTCGAGGGTTTTTTTGTGTGTGTGTCTGTGTGGTGGGTGTGTAGTTCCTCAGAGTTAAAGAAGCATGTTTAAGGCGTCAAAACAGCAGCAGCAGCAAGAAGGCACTCGTTTATGTAAATCTCAGTCAAATCTCTCCATCCTAGATGGCCAGCTCTCTTCTCTTAGGGCGAATGAGAGTATCTGGCACAGAATGTAAGGGAAAGACAACAACAAAAATTGCATCTTTAACATAGGATACTGTATATAAAACCTGCATGTTTCTCCTTGGCTCTTTTCATGAACAAACAAATTACGTTTATTTCATATTCTTTATTTACGCTGGAATCCGTTACCAAGCTAAAATCAGAACGCTGACTGTGGAAACGTCCCTCCTGATTTGGGATTCAGCACCTCCTGACCTATTTCTCTAACCGTGCCACACACTCTAGACAGAGAGGGAAGAGATTTAGGAAGGCTCACTATTTGGCAATGCATCGCATTTCGGTGGCCTTGTGAAGGACATGGCTCTCCGTTAGGCAAAGCGACCCACACGTTCCTGTTTGCAAGGGTAAACATACAAAAAAGCAACACCAATGACGAATAAAGCATAGCTATAAAAAGGACAGGCGATGACTTTGATTTACAACTTAGCACTTTGTCCGGGGCACCAGTGGCAACGTCAGTGTCGCTAATTAGTGGCCACGGAGCTGAGCAGATGGAAGGGGTCCTCTATAGGTGGGAGAGAGGAAGAAAGAAAAAGCCCTGCTTGTCCAACAGTTTCTGAGATTTTACAGCCATCATGCTCACAACTACAGCACACACACACACACACACCCATTCCCAGGTGCGGTGTACTGTATAATATAAGACACTGGTTGCCATCGTGTGAAGGACGAAGAAAAACAAAGGAGCTAAGGGACCCTTGCTTTTGCTTTTTCTTTTTTTAAAAAAGAGGATTCTCCTTTGGGTGGAGTGCTAAAGCCACCGAAAAGAGCTTTCTTTCTTTCTCTCTGTCTGTCTTCCTGCCCAAGACACCAGAGACACACCATGCTTCCCTTCTCTTGTGAAGGAATTCGCTGAAAGCGAAGCCACTAAACAACGGCCTCACAATAGGCTGAAATCTGAGCCACTGCTTCTCCAAGCCTTCACAGGCTCAAACCTGGCACTCCTTCATTTGCAAGCTGCAAAAAAGGGGCAGCTCACGTTTCTACTACGGAGGGTGGCACCCTCCCCACTGCAGCTTCACCTCACCTCCGCCCCCCACCCCACCCCACACACAAAAAAGCAGGAGCAAGCTGTACAAGCTTAAATCGGCAGCCCCCTTGAAAAGCGAAGGGTAATTAATCATTGGCATCTCATTATGAAGCGGGAAAGGTCATAAGCCTATGTCAAATGAGGGATAGATTCTAGAAGAAGGGGCAGGCGAACGAGCAGTGCAACACGCTAGAAGAGAGACTATAAAGCGGGGAGGTAGTGGATTGAAAGCAAAGGTCAGTCTTTGTTTGGCTAGTAAACAAAGATGCATTTCGATCCATCTCACGTTTATACTTGGTAGGAAGTCCCAGCAAGTTCAAGGGGGCTAAAACGTCAATGTGGATAAATGCAAAATAAAACGAAAGCCATACCTATGCCAAGCATCCTTTCTAAAAGGGAAGAGAAGGCCGCCGAGCTATTGTGGGGTTTGTTCCAATAAAAGGGAACAGTTTCCTCCTGTGCCCATTGGACAGGGTGGCTGCCCTTTCCTCTTGTGGCCCCTGCAGATTCAGTGCGTTCCCCCTGCCTTCTCTTTCTCTGTGGGCTGTGACCGTCAAGTCATTCAAACCAATGCTCAACTGACTTATGACAGAGGATTTAAATGTACTTTAAAATTATAATATTTTTAAAATATTTTAATGTCCCTAAGAATATATAACAGACTGTCAAACAATAATAATAATCAAACAGAGCAGATTTAAAAAAAAATAAGTCTCTGACAGCTTACAAATGATTTTAACAGACCAGACGCTAACCTTTGAAGTGATGAAATGGACAAACTAGCTAAAAGTAGGTTCTCTGGGGAGGTGTAACAGTGGAATAGGAAACAGGGCACCCCCTTCTACTTCTCAGACATAACTCAACCAAGCTGACACAAAGGGGAATTTTCAGGATTGGGGACAGTGCTGTGCCTGAGGTGGGACCATTCTCTTCTCTAGACCTGTAATCTGGTAGCAAATAAATCTCTCCCGAGAATGGGCAGAGCGTTGCTATTTCATCTCTAGTGTAACATAACTCTTTCCAGGATGCTGGGGTAGATGGCACAGGAACAAGATAGGTTTAAGGTCCCCATCTTACAAGGAAAACTTTGCACATACAACATCATTCCAAGATGAGAAGGCTCTATCCAGCTGGCACGAATACGCAGAGTTTATCCAAATCGCTTACCTCTTCCATGTTTTCTGGAGTTGGACTCTCATTTGTAGGGAGCATTTCTTTAGCCTCAGAGGACTCGGCTTTGGATGTCCGACTCAGCTGGTCAATCGGAGTCATGCTAGCGTCCGATGCACCTCTCGAATTCTGAGACAGCGAAGCCATAGCGAGAACGGACTCCTCGTCGTCAGAATCCGGCAACGGGGTTGGGCTAATGTCTTCCAGACCAGTGCTGGAAGGACGAGACGAAGGGGTTTGTGCTCTGTAGCTGGGCTGGCAATTGGAACCAAAGTTTGGGATCGGAGAAAGCTGGGAGGAGGAGGAGGAGATAGGACTGCCTTCCATCCGGATCTCATTGTCCGAGTCATGCTCGCTGAGAAAATACAACTTGGTTCTCTGCTCTTTTAAGAGCATCTCAATCCTAGAGTCCAAGCTGTTATGCTGAATCTCGGATTCAATCGTCGGGGTGCCCGGAGTTTCACTCCTTTCGGGAGTCATCGAGAAGGACGTCGCCGGGGCTTCGTTGAGACTGGGGGGCTCTGGTGGGGGTGGGGGCTCCTCAGGTTTATCCTTCACTGGGACAAAATCAACAGGAGCCGGAGCTGGAGGCGGAGCGCTGCTTTCCACTACAGCTTCTACGGGGGGCGGAGGGGGGCGTCGGTACTCGGTCTCCCGGGAAGTCGGAGGAAGTGGGGGTTCCTCTGGCTGGGGATAGGACGTTGGGGCTTGGTACGGGGAGAAGGCTGATTTGAATGTTGAAGAACTGGTGTGGCTCAGAGGAGACGCATGGGAATATTGCACCGTCTCTTGCTGATGGGATTTGAATGCACCAAACTGATGCTCGGACCCTCGGAAAGCACCTGCCGAGTTATGCACATAGTGATGGCCTGGGCGTCGGTTGTAGGCATCGGTAAATTTTGTTTCATGCCTCCTGGGTTTATACCCAGACTCCTGTCCAAAATGGTACGCTGGGGTGGTCTGGCGACTCGAGTACGCAGAATCTTGGGAAAACGGCGTCCCTAAACGTGGAGTGAGAGGGGTTCCTTGTGACTGAGGGGTAAACTGGCCAAAAGAGTTTGGGGTATCTTGCCGACAACTGGAAAAGGCAGTATCATGAGAAAACGGGGTGCTACTGTTTGGGGTAGACGAGGATCCCACAGAAAGAAGGCTGTTGTCCTTTATCTGTTTCAGCGTATCGGCCAACTGCAAAGAGAGAAAAAAAAAACCCAGAAAAAGAATGCATTCATGGCTCGATATTTGCTAGACTCACTAGTGAATCACAAGCATCAGCAATGGACATTAAGTCTTATGCACAAAGTTCCTTTTATAAATGGAAAACATACGGATGTCTCTTGGAAAAAAAGCAGATAGGTAAAACCCATAAATAGCAATTTACCATGTCCCCTTCAGTACAGCTTGGAGATTTTAACTTCTTTAGCCCACAACTTCACAAATCTATATCTAAGATATCGTTGATATAGTTAATTATGAAAAGATTTGTATCTTGCTCAAGTTTCTCCTCTTCTTCCATCATTTCATGTACCTATATACGTACTTTCTAGCCTCCTTAGCACTTCCCATGCACAAAATAAGTTTTAATTTCCATTCCTAAAAATAAAACAACAACAACACCACACACACACACACCAAACAGTCAAACAAACCTGGGAAACAATCTCTAAAACGAATGAATGACATGCATTCCTAAACCTTCATTTCAGGTAAATTCAACCTACAGATCACCCCACGGTCTGATTTTATCAAGCCACCCGCCTGCAGGTGGCTAAAGCGGAGAGAGCTGGCCACGTGGGCCCCTGCCAAGTGTCACTCCAAGAACCAGCTGAAGAACGACTAACATACACATACACACACACTCCTGCAAACAATTCTGAGCAGTGGACCTTGTGAGCATGGGATACCTCTGCAGGACAAAAAGTTCCTGAAACCACCCTTTCATCTAATCTACCCAGTGTGTAGTTGTTTTTTTTTAAAAGCAATGCGTGTAGGCGGAGTCAAGTTAAATGCACTTCCTATAAAAGTGCTTGTATTTGAACAGGATAATAATAAAACCAACATCTTTGAACACAGGCACACCAGGGCAGCTGGAATACTTCCAGCTATGGATTTTTAAGAACTGCCAATGCGGCCAACCAAACTCCTTCAATTAAAATTTACTTTGAACTCCTTTTCAACAGCCTTTCCCAACAGATCAGTTAAAGCTTGGTACAGGGAAAAATAAAAAGAAAGGCTTCCAAATAGTGCTGATGGTCAGCCGAATGCCTATTTGACCAGATAACACCTGGGATGGGGCGGGGGGGGGAATCATCATCAACCATCTTCCATGGGATGATCTTGAAACTGAGCAGATCCGTGGTGAATGAAACCAAGCACTGAAAAGAGCCAGGACATTAATCAATGGTGTGAGTCAAATCATAGCTAAATGGATTTTTTTTTAAATCCATAATTCTGTTATTTGCTTAAAGGAAGTCTTTCTTCTGTTTTACTCTTTCACAAAAGGTGGACAGCCAGAATTCCATAGAATTTCTTTTCTACCTAAATAATTCCAACGTGAGATTGTTAATTAGACAAGATTTTAACCCAAAGAGAAAAAATGTGACCAGAAGACTCTCGGGTGACAACAGAATGCCATCACAGCAAGGAAGCATTACATATTTAAAAATAAAGTTGTGTTTAAATTTCAGCTAGCCACAATATGACAAAAACAGACTAGCACACGGTCGGCAACATTAGGTGCAACAGCAGAACTATTTAACTAGGTGATCTCCACACTCACCGAGACCCGTCCCTCTTTCTCCCTGCATCTACTCTCGGCTCACCTGTCCCGTTCCAATGGTGTAAACGTAGGCCTATTTATTGCACTTTAAACCCCTCTTTCCATGAAAAATGCCAAGCTAGGAAGCTTACCGACATCTTATTAACGTCACTGTTTCACATTTTTATTTGTTAAAACAATTTGAAACAGTAACACTGTTAGAAAAAAGACGAGTCATAAATGATTTATGGACCATGGATCTGCTCTGTTCCAATAAAAATCATGATGACAAAAGGTGAAGCAGCTGCTGCTTACCTTCCCTTGCTCTCATTTACCCTTCTGAGCAAAAAGAGGCCAGAGGGAGTGGAAAAGCTCAGGGATGGTGATGGTAGGGGGTCCCTCCAAGCACAGAGACGACCCAAAGTCAGCAGCAATCAATTATGGTCAGAAGGAAAAAGTATGATTGCTATACTAATGAGGTCTTTCTTTCTTTCTAAGCATGGTTTAAATCTGCTAGTTTATACCTGGTTCATAATCAAGCCATGTTTTCCCCACTACATCTAAAACAGCAGACTATGTTCAAGTTGTCTCCTCCAAACCAGGATTAAACTAAAGACAGCAATCCTAGTTTGTCACATTGGGTGTAAACTATAGTTTGATTAAAGAAAGGAAGTAATGAATTAAGTTCCACTTAATAGAACAGGGAGGAACCAAATGGGGCAGTGAGGTACGGAAAAATGACGATTTTGTGACATTAGAATTGGGGAGGAAATGCCATTTATGATGCTAAAGTTATATTTGAAAACTAACACTCATTTGTCCTGGATCCCAACAATTTGCTGAGCCTTTACGACTGTGACTTTAAAGAAAACTTCTCACAGTAGGCATCAGCCCTGCAGAATCAGACCGCTGTTATGCAATCATCACAGTTTTTTTCTTCGAACTTCCAAAAGATATACAGGACAAAGAAAATGGAAGTGGCAAAGGAAAGGTAAAAATTAAGACAAACTGATTTCTCTCCACACTAGCCTGCTATAACACGCTGTATCAAGCTAAGGTAGAAATAAAGTGCCAAATAATAAGGCATTTGAAGTTCTGGGCAGTATGTGTCTTCCTAAATTAGTAAGTTGGCTTCAATATAAAGGTAATGAGAACTGAATCGATTCTTCAGGGTGTTTATCGTCTCTCCTAAAAATAAAATTGTGAATATTTACAAAAAACGAATGATCCACTTACTAGGAAGTAAATCTGAATAAACTCAGCTTGTAACATGACTGGCTACCATGAACGGAGCCTTCTAGTCCCACAATATATTCTGTCTAAGAAGAGTTGACGAATAGTCCACAGAGATTGAATTAATTTGGTTGTCTTTACATCTAGAATTCTTGAAATCACACAAACGTAGCCTGTTCATTCCACTAACAAACCCCCTCCACAGAACATGACAGACCTTGTGGTGTGGCACAATTCGGCATTTCATTCTAATTTAAACTGAGTTGTTAAATTTCAATTATTCATGGCTACTTACGCATTTTTTTAGAAGTCTCTACTCAGCAACTTGATCTTAAGACAGCAAAAATAGGGCAGAGAGGGGAACACAGACTTTCAAGTTGGTTTCTGTAAAGCTAGTTTCAAGCTGCATAGATTTGAAAGCCAGCACCAGTGCAGGACCCCCAAAGCAGCCCAAACAGACTCTAAAATGCTGATTCTAAAACATTCCCTTCAAAACTTATCAGCCCCCTTTCAGACCCTACACCTTCTGGCTCATGCTTGCAATGGACGCATAACAGTTTGCTATCTCTGACAGGCGGAAGCATGGACTCCCACCGTAACCACTACCCACTGAAATTCCCAGCCTCTGTAAATTTATCCTATCCCCTTTCAAAATGATCCATACTGGCAGTCATCACAATTTAATCATAGTAATAATAACAACTGCAGAGTTGGAAGGGACCCTGTGGATCATCCAGTCCAGCCCCTGTTTCCTGGGGGGTGGGGGGCGGAGCAATTCCACCATTTAAATATGCAGTGTGTGAAGAAATATCATGAAAAAATAATAATCATAATAAAGCAGCAGATCAAAGCAAAGCAAATTAAGCATTATTAGTTTCAAGAAACAGTTGCAGTCATCCAGGGTAGCAGCATGCATTATTCCTTCTCTGACTCTAACCTCAAAGCAACCAGATAGGGTAGGACCAAGTAGAAACCACAGCAAAAACCAGAAACAATGGCAACAGCAACTTAAGGAATGGGAGGGGAGTGGTGTACACTTCAAGAGTTCTGCGTGGGGCAATATAGCCCTCCCCCCAACCTCATGAAGTGTCTTATCCCTGATGAACAGGATCACATGGTGCTGGTTTGGGGCCATTATAAAGCTAATTTATTCAAAAGGATTGCAGACAGAGGTTTGCCTTTTAGACCAAAATCAGTCAGCTATTTTAAAGAGATGAACCTAAAATTTCAAACCCAGATGTTTAAGTCACTTAATCCGAGATTGACAACTAGATAAACAGGACTAATTATTTTTTTTTCTTTCAAGGAAAAGCCCTCTTTAAAACTTCCTTTTTTTCATCCCATGTTATGGCAATTGGTTTGAACAAAAGGAGACACAGAAAACAAACAAAATAAACAACCAGATGTACCCTAAACCGCCAAGCCCTGTCCATTAGTCAGCTGAAACGTCTGTTGATTAATTGACTCACTAAACAAATTAAAAACATAAATTTGCTTTTAAAAAGGATCATTGGCACAAATTTGACTTCTCGGTCTTTGTATACACAGGTGGACCTCCAGGGCTGCAACCTGTTCCTTTCACTGCCACATCCAGAATCCGAATCCAACGGACCAACATTTTATGGACTGAAATGTACCTAAAGCTTCATCATGGTTGGCCCGCATTCTGGAGATGGTTCTCCAACACGGAGGTTAAAGATGACAGCTGTCTAGACAAGAATGTCAAGAATGTGTTTCTTGAGAAATAGAGACAACTGCAGTTAAAGCGCACTAAGAGCATGTTAAAACCTTTCTGGTCAAACATGGTGCACGCAATGAAGACACTGCCAATTATTGCTATTATTATTATTATTGTAAAGTACCTGCACAGTTTCATTCACAGGGGAGGCGTCTGGATCATTCTCCACAGGCAGGGTCTGAGGCGTGTAGAGGCCACTCATAAGGAGACCATAAAAATACATGCGTTTTTCACCTGGCCAAACAGTAAGAACAACATTATTGAAAACGACAAACCCCAAACCATAAATAATACGCAAACATCAGAGGCTGGCTCCACCATATTCTAACGGGAACACTCTTTTTGGAACAACTCTTTGTAAAGGGGGGGGGGTCTGACAGCTGTCACGTTTGGCTCTACTGAAGTTTTTCAGTATGAGCCGGTCAGCCCAAGTGAAGCAAGACTATCTCCCTGTAAAAAGCGGAGCGAGAATCCCTCTGCAGAAAGCATGCATAAATAGGCTTCATTCATTCAGTCTGTAACACACCCTTTCTCCGAGGACTTAAAATAGGATGAATGATTCCCCTCACTCACTTTACCCTATCTGCCACCCTAAGAGGTGGGGCTGGACTGAATTCTTACATCCATAGGACACCACAATGATAACTCTTAGTCTATTCCAATATGCTTTCAGAGAGCAGAAACAGCAGGAACAATGTAAGAACTGTAGAGACGGGACTTTATATAAAGCTGTGGTAGTCTCCGACTCCATCAACGCCTATGGTCATATACAATAAATTGTTAAATGGAGACACTCAGTTTTACATACAGTAATGATCCTATAGAGAACCCAACATGCTAGAATCCAGCATTTAAGAATGCTTTTTCCCCATAAAGTTACATTGCATACATTTACTGAAAACAATAGTTTCTCATATTCACTTATTTAAAACAATGGATCTGTTTTTCATAGACTATGGCTGTAAGCCTATGGCCAATTACTTGGGAACAAGCACCATTGACATAGCTGGGACTTACTTCTTTATGTAAATCTATCAGGTGAGAATGCACAGCTAAACATTTTCATTGGCCTGTGTGACTCACAAGCCGTTGTTAGAATCCGAGGTGCCCAGTTCCTAGCTATCTGGTTTTAGGGTCTGTGGTGCATGGCAAAAACAGAATACGTGACATCTCCTTTTCAAAGTTGCGGGTGTCCTACAAACATAGCAATCCAGCACAGTACAACTGAGCAGGAGATGGACGGGGCAATGCTAAACACATACAAGCACCGGCAATTAGTTAGGAAAAGGACCGAAAATAAAACTGTCAATATCAGAACACGCATCGACAAATTTATGGTGTGACTATTTTTGGCATGCTGCATATGGTTCTGGTTGCTGAATTTCAAGAAGGATATGGTGGGAAAAGTGAAAAGAAAAGAAAAGAAAAAAAGAGCAACCACGCCAGCTGGGGTATGTGGGGTGGGATGTAGATTCTGGAATATATAGTCCAATATGTAACATTTTCAAGCCCTGTTCAGAGACACCGACCCATCTCTTAAACGCTGGTGCAAGAGGAGGAACTAGCCCTGTTGCAATGGAAGAATCTGTTGATGGCTGCTATTCTTTGTGAAAATAACAATAAATACCTGGCATTTATATAGCATTTAACCATTCAAACCGTGTCACATACATTTTCCTGGTTTTATTTAAATTAGCTTTCTATGAAAGGTCACTACTATTCTCCCCATATCACAGGCTGAAAGCTTGAGGCTACCTACTGAGTTTATGGATGAACTTGAGATGTCCTGGTTCATAGACCAGTTTCTCTGCCCCTGCCTCGCTGCACTAGCTCCTAACACAACAGATGAAAATAAAGACACAGATCGTTTTACAAGACAAGGTGCCACTCCAGTGACAACAACTGAGGTATTACAGTTCATATAGTACAGTACTCATCTCACTAGAAATCAGCAAAACATAATGTACACCAAGGTCTGGATTTCACCTTAAGTGACTCACTTAAAGCTACAGAGCGTCATTCTGAAACATGTGTATAAAACTCACGTTCTTAGCCCGTGTCTGTTTTCTAATCCCACCAAATTACTACAGAAGGTAAAATATTTTAAATATAGGTGAATGGGCTATGGGGAGGGGTCACTGACTTATTTTAAAACAGATCGCTGTTTGTTTGTACATATTCAGTGTTGCACAGAGAATTTGAGTTTTGTGAAGTTCATTAAACTCACAGACTGTTCTTGTCAGAAACTGAGAGGAAATTTGTCACAAATGTTTCAAAAACTATCATTAGGAGCTTACAGTAAAAACTAAATTTAAAAGATCAAAACACAGTTTTGTAAGTAGCAGCCTGAACCACAAAACAGTTAGTTAAGCTGGAAGTTGTGAAAAGATAACACAGCTTTCTCCAGTGAAGACAAAGTATCTTAAAACTGCAAGCTGTTGCATAGTTATTTATGAGAAAATTTGTTGCAAATACATATATATGATTAGCTGCCTCTATTCCAACTTTATACAAATCAGATTCCAAGATACTAAGAGGAAAGAGTTCAGATCAAAAAATGGGGTGAAATTAATTGATTATATCCCAGTCTGTCTAGCATAGTATCTCATCCTATATTTTGAAGTAATGGTTACTTGGAACTAATGTTGACAAAACACTGCAGAATACATCCATCCACCTAACTAACCCATTCCAACATATTTTATCTTTTTCAATTTTATGAAATTCTGACCGACATGTTTACATGATTTCTCACATGGCAGCATGAGGGGGAGTCAACATCAGACAGAAATTAAACTAGCATGCTAAGAAAAAAAATGAGCTCTAGCAGCAGAAGTAAAGTTTGCTTTGAAGTTCAAAATATAAGCAATTTTAAAAAATTTAGCACAAATGCCTCTTATGATAAGAGGAAAGGAAATTGAGGCCATTTCCTTAAAAAGACGCATGTGTTAATTACACATACTTTCTAAACACTGTGTGAGAAGTTTAACACTGTTGGTGCTCTCTAAAAGTAAGCCGGGTAAGTCTCTTTTAGAAGTGAAGAGTCACCGTTCTTAAGTAACAGATTGGTCTGAACCATGATTTGTTGCTTCAGGCAAAACCAAAGTACACTCAGAGAGAGGAAGAATAAAAATTTTTAAAATATATTAAATATTAAATCTTTTTTCACATTGTTGGGCACTTGAATTGGATTCATATCCAAGGATAGAGTTCACTGTATAGTTTCAGCCTGCCAGTGGCAGCAGGTCAGTTACTTTTCAGAACAAGGTTATGATGACGGTCCCTTTAAGAGATGCCGGGAGAAAAAAAGAGAAAAAACTTCGGTCCCTAGGACAGCAATGAGATTACTGCATAAAAGCAAGAAGACTTCTATAGTCCAGTTTATAGTTAACACTGTTTTTAAGTAATCTCAGTTAGGTCTTGAAATGCATTTTCTTCAATTTGACTTTATTTTTTTTTAAATTCCCCCAATCCCAAATTATCTACTAAATACAAAAGCTACTTTTTGGCACTGGGGTGATGGGTGGGGGGGAAGGGGGACTGTTTGGCAAGCCAAGTGTCAGCATGAGTGAATGAGTGAAATGGAGAGGATGGCAGCATTTTGTAAATTACAGGACTGTCTCCTAGCAACAGACAACACATCCGGCGCCACGTGACTATCAAAGGCCCAGAGAAAAGCAAAGAGATGGGGGGGGGAAGTGACAGCCATTAATAAGTCCCCTCTTAAATTAATTAGCAGCCCTTCTCCATCCAACATTCACTCTGTCAATGCTTCTGACTCCTAGACAGGAGTAAGAAGTGGTCAGGGGAGGGTCGGAAGAGCAAAAGAGAAGAGGATCAGGCTAAATGTGGCTTCCCACCTTTAGTATCCAACTCCACGTGGATGATGTTTCCCATGACGGATGTGTTGTGGAGGTGCTGAACAGCTTCCCGGGCTCCTTTGACCGTGGCAAAGATCACTTTGGCAATTCCCAGATGCTTCTTGTTTTTAGGGTTATAGAGGATCTCAACTTCTTCCACTTCGCCATATTTTTTACACATGTCCGTCAGGAAGTTTTCCCGGATGTTGTCATTCAGCTTGGCAAAAGTGACTTGCTTGGGAGGCACAGGCCCGACATAAAACTCATCAATCTGGAGATGGATTGGAGCATGGAAGGGAAAAACAGAAGGAAGGACTGTCAGTAACCACATGGTTTGGAGCACAGAGGGTTAAAGAAGCACTGACTGACTGACTGTCTTAGAGACATTTCTTAATAGCTTGGCGGTTCAGAGGGAGACACCGAGGGACCCCTGGAGGGACCCCCTGAACAAACCCCCGGGGGGAAGAAAATAGCAAAAGATAAAAAGAAGTCGTTAGGTTCTCATCCACCAGCACCGACAGAGTTCACAGCATGCGCCTGTACCTTGAATTTAGGGACAGAGAGTTCCAACTCTTTCGTCTTGGTCCATATGCGTCCTATCCTGGGATCTCTGACACAATCCACTGGGGCAAGACCCGAATTCTGAGAAGGGAGAGAGAAATCACTAAGGTTCAAGAAAGAAAAGAAGAAGAAGCAAGACTTGGAAGTTTGCTGCACAGCCTTTAAAATAAAGGAAGGCGGAGGGGGGGGAGAGAGAGCACACCTATACATGTCAAAAAGCCATCCTGCAGGGAATCACAGGGAGAGAAAGCTGCAGGTTTTAGCTTTCATTCTGAGAGACCACGTTGTGTCAGGGGCTGCAACTTTAAATAATCTTTCCCAGACATTTTGTAGCAAACCTCCATTTCTCAGATCATTAAGAAATCTCACTTTCCTCCCACCCCTTAAAGCCAAGGATGGGGTGGGGAGCAAAAACGAACCCGGTTGGAAGGGTGACGGGGTGTGTAGAGGGGGGGAGGCAGAAAGAGAAGAAGGAAGAGGGTCTTGTGCATTTAAAAAAATAAAGATAATATGAAACGCACGCTTACAGGAATGCTAAAATGCTGCCCATCGTAACGATAGAGTTTGTGCTGTCCTTTTTTCAGAGCCGGGTCAATAATCAACTTGTAACTTTTCCAATGGTGATTTTTTTTCTCGGCCGAGGTGCTGCTGGCTTGAGAGCTGCTCTCCATGCCGTTGATCCAACCTGGAAGGAAGGGAAGGAGGGAGGAAAGGGGGCGCTCCCCCCAAGCAACAAAGTTAAATATATATATAGAGAGAGAGAGAGAGAGAGAAATGTCGAGTCGTTTCCATTGCAACCTCCGGGTCCCCCCATTCCGCTAAGAAAGGGGGGGGAGATGAGACAGACAGAGAGACAGACAGCAACACGGGAGTGAGACGAGAAGGAGGGGAAAGAAGCAGAGAGAGAGAGAGGGAGAGGGAGAAAGGCAATCTTACTTGAAGTCTGCTTTTTGCCATGGTCTTCGGGGTGCTTGGCTTTTTCTCCTGCCTTGATCTCTTTGAAAGACATGGTGCTTCGGTGGCCGATCGTTCGCCTTGGCTTTTTTTTCTTTCTCTTCTTCTTCTTCTTCTTCTTTCCCTGGCCCCCTTTTTTTTTTCCTTCTTCACATTGAGCTGGTTACATTACATGGGGTTTTGAAAGCCTCTTCCCTGCCTGCCTGCCTGCCTTCTTTTTTTTTCCCCTCTCGAGCCAACACATATTGTGTATGTATGTGTGTGTGTATGTGTATGTGTGTGAGTGTGTGTGTGTGAGTGCTTTCTGCTTGGTTCTCAGGCATCCCACAATTCACCAGGATGGAGCCTCTCGGCTCTCATGGCTAACCGCCCTCCGCCGAAGGCACATTCACGGCAGCTGCAACGCGCTCGCCCAGCGCCCGGCGGCGCCTCCCCGCCCCAAATAAAGGGGCCAGGCAGGGTCGGACCCCCACCCACCGACCTCCGCCGG